GAACAGAAATTCCATAAATTTAATAACAAATATATTTTAACCTTAGTTAACTTTATACCAAAATCCTTAAAACATTGTCATTCAATCCTGGTCACAAAAACAAATCCCATTAATAACTACCAAGAATTTCAGCATATATGTTAACCATAGTCCAATAAATTCATTTTGTAAACTTTCTGTTTACTTTTAAAAATCTTAAACTTTAATCCTTTCATATAATGTCCCACAAGTTGATTCCCCATCATCTCCTTTCTTCTCCCAAAAACATCTCCAGTAGTTTCTCTTTGTCTCTTTCCAGGAACATCCTCACCGATGCAATACATTCTTTTTGCAAATCCAAGATGAAAACATCTTTCCAAATCACTCTTCTCCATAATTTGTATGTCCCCTTTGAACATAGTGACATCAGTTGATTCCACAATTTTAGTTCCATTCTGGCATCTTTTTCCATATCATCCTTTGGCCATCTTAAGTCCATGTTTAAATCTACAACTTCTTTATTCATATCACCTTCATAGTCCAACATCTTTTTGAACTCCAATTCCACATTCGATTCAGTTTCCACCTCCTTTTCACAGTTAATTGTCTTATTGACTCTTTCCTCTTATCTTTTTTTTCAAGGGACTTAAATTTAGCTTCTAGTTCCTCAAAGGTTGACTAGAGTAAACTTAAAGGAGTTATTTTGTTGTCTAACAGCTGCTCCAAAGGACCTATTTTAGCCATTATTATTTCTTCTTCCTCGTCTCCTTCTCCTTCTCCTTCTCCTTCTCCTTCTCCTTCTCCTTCTCTCCCATTTAGACAAATAAATTGTATAGCCAGATACAATTAATTACAAGTGAAAGTAAACTGCAGCTCACACCATTTAGTGTCTTTTAAGCTGGAATTGCAGGCGTGCATGCTCGCTTCAAAGGGAGCACACAGGAATCAAGTTACAGTCTACTTCTGTTTTAAAAGCCCTACCAATCAGCAGGCAGAATTGAACAAAACAAGACATTTTCCCACAGAAAAGGCAAACCTCATTGCTGCGAATGGAGTTTCATCAAAAAGTAAATTTTTAACACATAAATCTTCCTTTTTCACTAAGTAAATTTTAAGTCTCTTTTAAAATTCACTTTTCCTCCAGTTTTTTGAGAATTAATCAGCTTGATTTAAAGCTCCGTTTCTTCATTTAAAAATATAGACCCCAAAATAAGGATAATCCCTAAGAGATTTCCTTATCTGTTGTGAAAGAAGGTCTCTCTTAAGATGAAAAATAGTTATAATCCAAGGTGTTTAATAAATGAGAATCAGTCGGCTCTAGTGTCCCATAAAAGCTGCAGTGTCAAACGAAGATGGGTCACCCACCTCCCAGATGCCTGACTCAAAAGCCGTTCACAGAAGCTTCCATCTCTATGATTAGCTTTTGAGGAAAGGCTGTCCGGAGACCATGCGGATCAATTTCCTAACTTCCTCCTTAATCCGGAGCAAGTTGGGCGGCCAGTGCTTGCTGCCAGCCACCAATCCAGCTGCGGTATTGTCTCCCCTGTCACGGAGAGATGTTTAAGCCGCCATGTTGCCACCGGAAGCCCCCATCTTTTTGAAGGATTGAAGAAGCCTGCCTGGAAAAGTAAAAATCACTCTTGGGCAGATTTAAACAATTAGCTGACAATTGTCTTCCAAAAACATACCAAATACTGTAAATTCTTTCTAATATCTAACTCATGTGTTGAGCTTTTTTTTTTTTTTAATCAGATAATGATTTACAGCATAACCTTAAAAATATTCAATTCAATTTTGATGCTGTAGCCCAGTTCCTCAAATTAACTGGAGAAGAACTGATGGGATGCCATTTCCAAGCAAAGTAGTGTTGAGGAAATCCAATGGCATGATTGAAATTCCCAATTTCCAACAAGAAGATGCTGGTCTCTATGAGTGTATTACTGAAAATACGAGAGGGAAGAATGTTGCAAAGGGACGGCTGACGTATTATGGTAAGCATTTTTTTGGGGGGGGGGGTAAATCTTATGAATAAACCAGATAATTTCAGAGATTTAAAAGTATTAAAAAATATCTGGTTGAGAGGCATTTCCTTCCCCCATTTTTTCCAACCACAAAAACCCTGTGAAGGAAGCTGATCTGAGAGAGTCACCCGGTGAGGTTCTGTGGTTAAACCTGGTCTCTCCAGAACCTGCCCCAAATCCTGTTCCTATGCAATGAGATATAAAGATAAGTGTGTTGTATGAGTGATGTAAGTGTGTATGTGTTCACTTTGAATGGTGAGGACACTAATTCACTGCCTATTACTGACTGCCCTTGAGGTTGGGCGCTACCCATGCTTTAAGACCTATTTGCCTAGGTCTTCTGTCTTATATACCCCATCAGAGTCACTTGGATTGAGATGGGTGGCTACAGAAATTGCATAAATAAAATAAAATAAACCTTATGCATTCTTTGAAATTAAGTTAATGATCACCTCAAGATCCTGTCTTGGATTTCAAAAGTGTACAGTTGGCTGAGTTTTGAGATCTGAAATATAATCTTGGCCCATTCTAAATGAGCTATAATGGAATGATTGTTTTGACAAGTGTTTGAACTGTTGTGCCTTTTTTTGTTTGTTCCTTTCCTTTGTCTCTGGCTGCTTTATAATGATAACTTGGATTTTGTTTTAATTAGTTTTATTGATTTTATTGATTTGAGAACTTTGATTTAAATTGTTGTTTCCTGTCTTGAGAATGTTTGTAGTTGACAGGTATGTTATATGTGATTTAATATAAGTTCTAGGGATTTTTTTCCCCCCTATTCTGGTATGGGTATGTTGGGAACAAAAAGGCAGTGCAAGATCAAATCTGAAGAGTAGTTTTGGTAGCCTTTGGTGGTCCTGATATTTTGTTTTTTTAGTACTAAAATACTATATTTCTATCACATATTAGCTTTAATAATAGCTCAGTGGTCAGATCCCAAGAACAACCTGACTAGTTCAAGAAGCAAACTGTGTTACTTTAGCAATAGCCTTCCATTGCAGCATAACACATTGGCATTTACAACTTTTAATAAGTCAAAAGGCAAAGAACAAGAATTGATGCCCATGAAGGATAAGGTGAACAGAACCATAGAGTCTTCTAACATAAACACCCATTAAAATTTCCTGTCTAGACACAACATTAGCCTTGTGTAGAGAATGTTATGGCTGGAGGTGATAAGTGTAAGCCACAGTTTTAAGATCATTTTCTTTAAAGAAGGGATTCAGTTGGTGTATCAAAAGGTGCTTCTGACCATCTTCTCTGTCTATAAACCAGATGGTGATTTGGATCTGTGTGTGACAAGGCTTTGTGTGGGTTCTTAGGATTTGGTAGAAAACGCAGTGCAAGATGCCACTTTAGACTATTTTTACTTTATTAAATGAACAACCAGCATCTTATTTTGATTTCACAGCCAAGCTTTCCAAATAATAAATTACAATTTAATTTAGGAGTCTGCATTCCATTGCTTCTCCATTACATTTTTTTTAAAAAAATAAGTGCAACCACTTGCCTTTGTTAAGTAGCCTTGCAGAGAATTTTTTTTCTCTATTCAAAAATTTTGACAAGTTTCTAAATATTCTTAACCACCACTATCTAGAATCACAGAAAGGTTTGGAGATTCTGCCCCAGCAATTCCTTCTGTCACTGAGTCTGGCAGCTGGCTGTTCTCTGGTTGGTAAAACTTTTGATCTCCTGTCATCTTCAATCTCTAAGGAATCAAAACTGTGGTATATCTCAGGATCGCCAGCCAACATTTTTCTTTCTTAATTCATGAATCTTCAACAGCTATCACTGTCTAGATCTATCTGAGGTTGTGCAAGCCAATATGCCCCCTTACTTCCAGTTCTTATTCCCAGAGTTTATCTGGGAATTTTAGGATTCCCCCTCTTAGGCCAATACAATAGCCCTTTTTCCTCCACTGGGAACATCCTCCAATGAGAAAGTAGGCTAACTGCTAATCTCTACTTCTCCCTTCAGCTAACTAGCACAAAGCTTTGGCGCTTTGTGGATGTCTAACAGCTAACAAGAATCCATGGTGGATTGAAGAGTATCACATAACTTACACACACTCCACCTTTTTTAAAAGAAAAGGCTGAGGAAGAGTCCAGAGGCCTTTCCCTGGTGTCATTTTTATCTGTGTTACAGAGCAATCTCTGGGTCATTTCCATAGCTAAACAGAAAATCAACAGCCTGGTGCTGTTTGTCTGTCTGATGTTGCACCACAAGTTTGTGTGGTAAGATACCAGCATGTGGTCTTCTGTTGATGTCTTTCATTTTTTATGAAGGTCTGTGATTAATGAGAATCTACAACCCCACAAGACTTTTTACCACTTATTTCAGATCACAAGCCTCTTCTCTGTATTGCTATATACTTTTCCCTTGGAAAGAGTTTTTTTCTGAAGTTAAAGGATTAGAAATTTTTGCACTAACCCAGCTTCCAACCCCACATCAGAAACAGCAATGAACAAAACAAATGGAAAATTAAAATCTAGCCCTCTTAACACAAGGTGACAATACCAAACAGTATTTAAGTCTTTCACATTCAGGAGTTCAGTGAACTTTATTCGATTCATTCTTCTTAGTTACGATTATGAGGACTTATACTTCGGTGGAAAAAGGAGGTTTAAATCATCCATAGTATCCCACAGTTCCCAGGAGAGTTGTTCATCTGTTGACTAGCTTGCATTTCCTTTTTTTTTTTTTTTTGGTTTAACTTCTTATTGACCCACAATATGTACCCAAGGTAACACGATTCAGAAAGCCCCAGGCGACTATTAAGTTAAACCTGTGTCTTTAAGACTAGAAATAGCTTCTTTTAGCTGGTGCAAAATATTCTTTCCAGATAATACTATAAACAAGAATATCATCCAGATAGGCTTCACAAAACTTCCCTTTGCCTGGAAGCATGTCCATGAGTTGCTTTAGTAACTTTGGCAAGGATCCAGCTACATCTGTTGCAGTTCTGGAAAATGGAACAAGGACCAGTGTGATTCTTTCCATGGAACTATGTTTTCCTTTAGGTTTTGCATACTGGCTTTCTGGACAGGATTGATCATGAGCTTCCACACCCTTGGTCATTCCTGGCCAAAAGAATCTGTCTCTAGATCTTACTAGAGTTTTCCATGCCTCATGCAATCTGAAAAGAGAGTCAGTTAGGTGTAGTGGTTAAGGGAGACCATGAGTTCTAGTCCAGCCTTAGGCACAAAGCCAGCTGGGTGACTGTGAGGAAGGGAAGCTGGGATTGTTGTCTGCCCTTGGGAAAAGCAGTGGCAGCCAGGCAGAAATGCTTCCCCCAAGGCTCAGCACAACTCATGCTTTTTTCCCAAAGGTCTGTAAAAATTTACAGCCTCCAGAACATGAGATGGGCTCATTCATTCATTCATTCATTCATTCATTCATTCATTCATTCCCCCACTCACAGTTTACT